CACCATTTTGCTGTCTGCCTCTGTGAATTTGACTATGCTGGGTGCTTCACTTAAGTGGAATTCTACAATAATTGTCGTTTTGCGTCTGGCTTATTTCACTTAGCATCATGTCTTCAGAGTTCATCTACGTGTCATCTCAAGCACGTACCACATTTTGTTTATCCAGTCACCCATCGTTGAACGTTATTGTTTTTTATAATTTCTCTAGTTAAGGTTCTTAACACCTGATAGTGTTTCTCTTCCCTATTGCACTGTAAGCTCCTTGGTGATTTTATTCATCTTTGTGCTCCTGGTGCAGTGCATTGGTCAGTAATGTGCTGAATGAGTGAATAAACGGGTGAGCTGGCTGGGGCTTGGATTTGAATGTTTGCCCAAGAATCAGAACCAGCTCTGCCCTTGAACCTGATGTTCTGGATAAAAGGAGCTACAGATCTTTACCTCTCGGAACCTTCGTATCTATGACATTGGGACGTCAGACTCGCTACTCGATCATTTGCCTGATCCAGCACTCTTTGAGCTTTTCAGGTTAAAGTTGCTATTGAAACGCTCAGGAAATTAACACTAATGCTTTTCCCCCCCAGAACTCTTCTTGAATTTAAGAAATTCAAAAGTGGCTCCATTTAAAACCATTCAAAACTTGCCATGGATTTATGTTTAAAAAAATTATTGTTATATGAAAAGAAAATAGCTTGAAATATGCCCAAACCCATGTCTTTCTTTCCGTTTCTGTTGTAGCCAGGGCTTCCCCTGCGACATCTCCTCTCCTGGCTCCTGGGCCCCCAGACTCGCCCAAGACCTCTCCTCTCTCTGCATCCTTTTCTGAGACCCCAACTTATGTCGAGTCCGCCTTCTTCTCTCTTTTCTTTTCCTAGATGATTTTTTTTCTCACTGCATCTAACCTATTGTCACTATCAGGGTGATTCCCAAAACTTAATCTCTGCCCAGACTTCTCTCCTGAGCTTCACTTTTGCGCTCCAGCTGCATCTAGATATTTCTATCTGGAGAAGTTCATGTGTCTGACGCGAAACCTACATTTCTTCCCACATGCCACCATCCTCCCCACGAATCCATCTTTCCTCCTCCTTGACCCTGAACATCTCATTAATTACCCAGCAAATCTCTTTTGCTGCTGGATGATACTGAATGACAGGTGCCAGGCACCATTCTCGGCACATAATTAGCGGGTTCGTCCAACAAATCAGAAAGTGACTCACCAAGCCTCTAATCCACAGTCTCTAACAGTTCTCTGGCTTCTGTTTCCTTTGCTGTTCCAGCGCGTATTCATTTCCTAGGGCTGAGGGGACAAAGCGCCACAAAGTAGGTGGCTTAAAACTGCAGAAATACATTGTCTCATGGTTCTCGAGGCCACAAGTCTGGCATCAGCAGCATTAGTCCTTCTGAGGCCTCCCATGGAGACTCTATTCTGTGCTTCCGTCCCGGCTGCTGGTGGCTTAGCATCCATCTTTGGCTTCCTCGGCCTTTAGACACGCTCCAGCCCTCCACCTTCACATGGCAGTATCCATGTGTCTCTGCACACAGCCTTCTCTCCGTGCATGTCACTCGATCTGAATTTCCCCCCCGTTTTTTAAAGATTTTATTTATTTCTTTATTTGAGACAGAGAGTGAGCCAGAGAGCATGTGCACAAGCGGGAGAGGGGCAGAGGCAAAGGGAGAAGCAGGCTTCCCGCGGAGCAGGGAGCCCAATGCGAGGCTCAATCCCAGGACCCTGGGATCATGACCTGAGCCGAAGGCAGACGCTTAACTGACTGAGCCACCCAGACACCCCTGAGTTTCCCCGTTTTTATAAGCATACTGGTCGTATTGGATTAGGGCCCACCCTAATGACCTCACTTTAACTTGATTACCTCTGTAAGGACCCTATTTCCAAATAAGGTCACATGAATGAATGAATGGATGGATGGTTAAGTGAATGAATGAATGAATGAATGAATGAATGTATGAATGAATGAGTTGGTCTCAATCTGCCTTTCCAACCTCTGTGCCATCATTCCCATCCAAGCACTTTGTCCTCTGGCCCAGTGTTTGGCTTCTGTTCTCCATGCTATTTCCTTTCCCAGCCCCCTCAAGTTCAGATTCTAGCCCTCGGCTAAGGCCCATCTCAAGTTCGCGTCCATGCTGCCATGACCCACTGATGTCTGCCTTCTCTTCACCCTGGTAGTGCTCTGCCGGTGCCTCCTCCGTGGCACTGTTAGCTTCAGCTTCATGTGACAGTGATGTATCACAGAACTTTACTCTTGTTAGAAGCCATCTTACAGGGGGGCCAAGACCAGAATATCTGCACTTGACCACATGGGGGCATCTTAAAAACCATGACAGATCCCCGAGCCCCACACTTTGAGATTCTGACCAGCAGGTGTAGGTGGGGGCCTGGAATCTATAGTTCCAAAAGCTCCTCCCGGAGATTCCAGTACCCAGTCAAGTATGAGAACCACTAATCCAATCCAACCTCCTTATTATACTTACAGGGAAACTGAGCTCCAAAATTGTTGTATGACTTGCCCAAGGTCACGTAATTAGTACCAGAGTCATCCAGTGGTATGGTTCTCTTACCTTCCCAGTCAGGTTGAAGCAGCTGAGGAACAGAGTCTGTATTTCTCTTATCTTTGTAACCTATGTGCTACAATCACTGTACATCAGTCCAGACCAGCAATTCACAGTAAGTGCTCTTACTGAGTAACAGACTAGTGGTCATACCAGGAGCTCTAAGAGGACGGCTACGAGATCTGTCTTTGCTTACCTGGCATAGTGCCTGGCAAATAGGAAGGTGCTCAGTTAATACTGGTTGGATGCACGAAGCATCTACCATGTACCAGGCACTGTAGGAGATGCTTTGCATACATCATTTCATTTCACTGATCTCAACTATGACCCTGTGAAGTGGGTTTTAATATTCCCATTTTACAGACGAGAAAACTGAGGGCCAGAATTTGTTTAACTTTTTCAGGGTCGTGCAGCCAATAATTGACAAAACTGAGTTTTAAACCCCAGCTCTGTCTTCAGTGCTCAGCTCTCTTCAGAAGCTGTAAGTCACCCCCAAACAATATCTAGTGCAAAAGTATTTAAAAGCCCCCAGATGTTTAGAAAGCTCAGCTTGGTTCTCAGCTCTAACTCAGCCTCGCTGCCCCATGAGGTAATAGGAAAGGTCGGTCCACCGAGAGTTTTATTGTGAATGTTACAGAACATACAGTACCTGACCATTTGTGTGCTTCTATGAGTGTGACTCAGCGCTATCAGAAGCTTTTACAAGTGTTTCTTCCTCTTTCCCTTGCTTTTCTAAAAACGCTTTTAGGATCCCCCTCCCTTTGTAGGGCAGAAGTGACAGGATCAGGGCAAGCAGAGTTCAGAAAGTGTCCCAGCATGAACTATTCTAATACCAGGTTTCAAATAGGAGCTGATGGCTGGAAAACCAGAGTACGGGGTGTGAGCGGGCCCCACCCACCCAGTCGCCTGCCCAGATCACTTGCGCGGTGAGCGGGTTTCATCTGTACCAGAGGCATTGCGTGTCAGAGATTGCGTGTCTAGAAATGGCAGGGCTCTGATCCGAGCTGTCAGGCATGAGAGGAAAACCTAAGTAGCCACATCCCAGAGACAGAGTTTCAGTTTTGTCATTTGAAATGCTTCTGTTATTTTTTCTCTTTCCAATTTGATGATGTTTTACTTGGATCTCGGCCTTGAATCTATTCTCCATGTCGACAATTTCCTCGTTCCTTGTGGCCTCCTTTTCATTGCTTCTGAGACCGGTCCTTTCTGGGACTGTAAGGTCACCCATCCCCCACCCAGCCTCAGGGGCCCAGGGGTGAGTAAGGAGGGGTGCTGCACTGGTAGGGGCCAGCCTCCCACTGTGATAGCCTACCTCCTCCTACTTCCAAGCAGGCTTCCACCCTGTCCCTGAATTTTTCAAATATGTACATACATTTGTTTCAAATTCTTACTTATCCTCCCGTCTTTTAAAGGGCCTCCAACATAATTACTTTAAGGACTCTGGTCTTGTAAATAACCAAGGAGGAAGCTGGGATGGTGGGCCCACGCCCAGAGGGGTCCCATGAAGTCATGGGTGGGCCTGGGGAGTCCTGACAGTTCTTTGCTCGAGGGTAGTAAATTGCCTGACTACCTGAGGAAACCGAATAAAGTGAGGGGGTCCCGGGGAGTAGTGTTTCAGTGTCGGGTTGTGTTAATATGCAGCCACACTTATGGTGAGGGACTTGGAAGCCATCGCCTGTCTGCATTATCGGATCTACCACCACAAGGCCAATATATATATATATACACTATAGACAAAATCTTTTTTTTTTTTTGAAAGATTTTATTTATTTCGAGAGAGAGAGAGAGCGAGCAAGCAAGCAAGCAGGGAGACGGGCAGAAGGAGAGGGAGGGAGAACCCCAAGCAGGCTCCACGCTCTGCTCAGAGCCCGATGTGGGGCTCAGTCTCAAGACCCTGAGATCATGACCTGAGCAGAAATCAAGAGTCAGATGCTTAACGGACTGAGCCATGCAGGCGCCCCATAGGCAGTCTTTTTACAGTAAAATCGAAAACACCATCCAAATTCCTTGGTAGTATAGCTCTAAACTCTGGCTGATTAAGTCTTACTGGAGTTTGTAGACCATAAGCTGAATTCCAGTTTTTTTTTTTTTTATTGTAGTGATATGTGTTTAATGGAATCTGACCTATATTACTTCTGCCAAGAGGGAATTCAGAATTACCCATTCTGAGTTAATGTGGTACAAAGAACCCCAAACTTCTCATTCTCAGGATGTGAACAGGAGTGAGTCTTTAATGAAAGCATTGAGTCAGTAATTTTTGTGGTTTAATATTACCACATATAGTTCCGTAGGCTCAGAATAGATTCTCCGAGGCTGATGCTGTAGTAGAAAGAGCAAGAGATTAAGCATCCAGAAAGTAGATTGGCCCCTAGTTCTGCAACCCAGGGCAGTTTACCTAACTTCTCTGTGTACCCATTCTGTTGCCTATAAGATGGATGGGCCGGCTCTTCTCTCCAGGCGTCCTCGTGAGAGTGACATCGTCTTTAAACCCTGCGTGGCAATCCCTGACACACCGCCGTGATGCCCAGGGAAGACAGGGCGACCTGGAAGTCCAACTACTTCCTTAAGGTCATCCAACTTTTGGATGATTATCCGAAATGCTTCATTGTGGGAGCAGACAATGTGGGTTCAAAGCAGATGCAGCAGATCCGCATGTCTCTCCGCGGGAAGGCAGTCATGCTGATGGGCAAGAACACCATGATGCGCAAGGCCATCCGAGGGCATCTGGAGAACAACCCAGCTCTGGAGAAACTGTTGCCTCATATCCAGGGGAATGTGGGCTTTGTGTTCACCAAGGAGGACCTCACTGAGATCAGGGACATGCTGCTGGCCAATAAGGTGCCAGCTGCCGCCCATGCTTGTGCCATAGCCCCCTGTGAAGTCACTGTGCCAGCCCAGAACACTGGTCTGGGGCCCGAGAAGACCTCCTTCTTCCAGGCTTTAGGCATCACCACTAAAATCTCCAGAGGCACCATTGAAATCCTGAGTGATGTGCAGCTGATTAAGACCGGAGACAAAGTGGGAGCCAGCGAAGCCACACTGCTGAACATGCTGAACATCTCCCCCTTCTCCTTTGGGCTGATCATCCAGCAGGTGTTTGACAATGGCAGCATCTACAACCCTGAAGTGCTTGACATCACAGAGGAGACT